TCAAATTATTACCTTTAAGAATCTGTGTTTTTGTGTCAGTAGTAGATAAAGCACAAACAGTTTATCTGAGAACAACAATTTACGATTCAAATAAATACTGTGTAAACTAAAGAAGGATTGGTGTGACGATGTTCAATTGGCACTGCAATTACAGCGGTATCTACTGCTACAGGTAGGAATTTTACATCATTCCCTCAAGACATTCAGTTGACAGTAAAGTACTAATACAGTTTGACAGGAGTATAACAGATGTATTATTAGGCTTTACACTTACCAGTTGGGAGGCAAGTTCACTTTTGCTGGCACGTTTAAGATGTTCAACCATCAAGATTTGTGTTTTTGTCAAACCAATGGTTTGACAAGGTCTACAAGGTTTTGGCAAATTTTAGCAGAAATTGTAACAAAATGTCACGCCTTTATCCTGAAGTTTTATGATACATACAGTCAGGTCCATAAATATTGGGACATCGACACAATTCTAACATGTCTATTGGTGGGAGGGCGGAAAAGTGACCACATCACACCCATTTTGGCCTCCCTGCATTGGCTGCCGGTGTGTTTGCCGGTGTGTTTTAGAATCCATTTTAAGATTCTTTTATTTGTTTTTAAATCTTTAAATGGTTTGGCCCCCCTTTATCTTACAGAATTGCTACATCCCTATAGCCCCTCCCGGTGCCTTAGATCGGCTGACCAGCTGCTCTTGGAGGTACCGAGGGCTAGGCGGAGATCTAGGGGGGGCAGAGCTTTTTCTGTGGGGGCGCCTAAGTTGTGGAATGCATTGCCCCTTTATATTAGACAGGCCCCTTACTTACTTTATTGGGGGGTTAGATACACAGCTTCAGATTCACGCTAATGATGTTCCAAGTTTGTTAGATATGTCAATATGCTGTTCTGTGCTAACATGTTCATCTTATCAATTTTCTAAGGTGATAATATGATGTCAGTGTTGTGTTTACATTTTTTTACTGCCACAAACTAAAAGAAAATCAATTAATGTGGCTTGAAAATTTAAGTGCATTTTGCAGGCAGGTGTACTGTCACCAAATCATTATTAGAAATACCGTATGTTACTAAATATGACAAGCAAAAACTAAATCAAAACATAACTGAAGTCAACACCAATAATCCAACTGGAAGCAGCACTATTGTTTTCAATATAACTGATACTGCCACCAACAGAAGGAAGTATTCAATTCAAATTATTACCTTTAAGAATCTGTGTTTTTGTGTCAGTAGTAGATAAAGCACAAACAGTTTATCTGAGAACAACAATTTACGATTCAAATAAATACTGTGTAAACTAAAGAAGGATTGGTGTGACGATGTTCAATTGGCACTGCAATTACAGCGGTATCTACTGCTACAGGTAGGAATTTTACATCATTCCCTCAAGACATTCAGTTGACAGTAAAGTACTAATACAGTTTGACAGGAGTATAACAGATGTATTATTAGGCTTTACACTTACCAGTTGGGAGGCAAGTTCACTTTTGCTGGCACGTTTAAGATGTTCAACCATCAAGATTTGTGTTTTTGTCAAACCAATGGTTTGACAAGGTCTACAAGGTTTTGGCAAATTTTAGCAGAAATTGTAACAAAATGTCACGCCTTTATCCTGAAGTTTTATGATACATACAGTCAGGTCCATAAATATTGGGACATCGACACAATTCTAACATTTTTGGCTCTATACACCACCACAATGGATTTGAAATGAAACGAACAAGATGTGCTTTAACTGCAGACTGTCAGCTTTAATTTGAGGGTATTTACATCCAAATCAGGTGAACGGTGTAGGAATTACAACAGTTTGCATATGTGCCTCCCACTTGTTAAGGGACCAAAAGTAATGGGACA